CGGTCGGTAAGTGATTTACTAGACCGCTTTTAACAAAAGAGCCGGTAGGTAAATGTATTTATTGTTTGATGGTGTGCTGAAAAAACATACAAGTCTATAGACGTGGCAAATATCACATTAGCCAGGTCCATTTTTATACAGTAATTGAATGGGTTTCAACTGAGTAATAGAGGTAAATTGTTTATACTCCAATGATTTATTAAGTTTGAGCATAAAAAATATCGCCACGAAGCTGCTAGCTGTTCTTTAAAAAAAAACGTGTTGACCTGTCAAAGTTAATTTAGTGTTCATCTAGGAAACACGGCAAAAATACATCAACATAAGTATTACAATATCACATGAATTGTGTTTGACGGATGAAAGTAGGTATGCATTGTTATGACAGTAACTGGTTTTGTTAACGTTACTAATTATCATTGGAGTGATTGGAGTTAGTTCAGTAGGAAATGAGTATAATCATATCACATAATTTCATTCCCAAATACTAGATAACTACCTTACCAAACTTGTTTACTGTTTACTTTATTACAAGTACAAATTTTGTAATCACTTAGTATTTTAAAATAAATTTTCAAACACTGCTTTTGTAGGAAAAACTGTTGGATACACAAGAGAGTCGAATCTGTGGACTTGTGGACTATTGTTCAAGAAAATAATACAAGTAAGCAATTTTAGAATTTTCATAAAGTGCACCTTTTCTTATTAAGAAACTGGTTAATTAAGCTAATTTAAACAATATTTTATTCAAATCAAATATACACACTTAAAATAAATAAAATCTAATTATTAAGTTTAAAAGCTGCAAAAGTTTTATGAAAACACTCAATAACTTTTAAGGGAAGATATAGAACTATGTCATCAGTTAAAATGATTAATTAATTAAAGCAGTGCAAGTAATTGCACGTACGGTAACTGTGTTTTTATTTGATATACATATGTGCTAAACAAACATAGCATTCATCTTTTAATTACTTTTATTTAGTTGTCTCGCACAGGATGCACGTTGCTTTTATGTCAGAAATACGTTGAATGACAGATAACATGGTCACAATTATAATGCTTGATAAGTGACCAAGTCTGTATCGTTGTTTCTATGTAAAGGTGAATACCATGAGTGGCAGCGAATGGGAACGCCTGGATTCGGTCAATATTGGTGTGTGGCGCCGTTATATGTCGCAACGCCGCTTAATGTCGCACTTGCCGCTAAATGTCGCACCATTGACGCTAAATGTCGCAACCGCCGCTAAATGTCGCAAAACCATTTGACGTTAAATGTCGCAATGTTAACGTTAAATGTCGCACGAATTTCCCTTACCGTTAAATGTCGCAACACTACCGTTAAATGTCGCAAGATGTAATTTTATGTTGAACTCAAGTTTTATTGTTGTATCATATTAATTAAATCTGCCTACTCAATTTGAAAGCGAGTGAATTTATTATATATAGAACTGCGCTACAATTTAGGCGGCGATAATACTCATCTTGTAAAGAAATGTATATTGTTTTGCGTTCGATTTTTAGCTGATCTTATGCAAGTACATATTGATAATTATACATCTGTCTACTATTTGTATGAAACTGCAAAATTGGCATTGTTCTGTAAATAGTTTAGTACAATTGTGTCTGTAAAAAGGCAGAAGAGACAGGCTGCCTGAGGTGGCAGTCTGATGGCCTAGTTGACTGAGGAGGCAAATTGTCTCGCTGTCGGAAGAGGAAGCCTTAATTGCTGACGACCTGGACCTTAAGAGTTTGCCTAACGCCCTGTAAGCCTAACGTTGGTAGCCTAGTATCCTGAGGAGGCCGCCTAACAGCCTATCGATGTCAGCTTTGCATGAAGTTGGCAATCTAACAGCTTAGAGTCGGCAGCCTAGTAGCTTAAAGTTAGTGACTTATATTATAAATATGTAAACAATTTAAAATACAGTAAAATCACTATGAAAGGTCATGCAAAAGCACATACACATGCATGATTATGGAAAAAAACGCCTTTACCTTTAGGGCACGAAACTTTGTAGTCTAATAGCCTAAAGCTGGCAGTCTAGGAGCCTGGCAGCCTAAAATTGGTGTCATGTTTTAAAAAAATGGAACGATCAAAATAATAAAACGGCAAGTTGCATTTTTCCCAAAATCTACTAATACAAAGGGCTTCATAATTTACAAATGTATTAATCAATAGAATAAACTTGATCATGGCAAGTAACATAATTATTGCATAAATTTTAATCAAGTTATTGCCATTTTCAGCAGTTTGAGAATGAATATCGTTAACCTAAACCGGCAAGTTGGATTTACTTAAGTACTGTCTATATACTTTAAATATGGCTTCATTATTTCCACACTTATTTAGAAAAAGTTCATGATATTGCCATCCATTTTCCCAAGTTATATTCCTTTTTTTTCACTTTGAAAATAGGACCTTGTATGGTTAACCTATTCCGTAAGTTGGATTTATCTTAAAAATTTATTTAATGATATCTTCCATATCTGGTAGATGGATACCATTAATGGTCGTGTATTTTTTATGGAGAAAGGGGTCTCTAGTGTAAAGGTCACTTGTGTGAATTTTTTATAACATTTTTGCTCATTAAGCCTTTATTGTTAAGATTATGTATTTCATGTTTAGTACAAACATGCCAAGGGAGGTCCTCTTCCTTTGGGTTTAGTTGGGGGTAAAGGCCAAAGTCACCAATGCCAAAAATAGATTTTAACATTTTTACAGGTGTTTTAACATTATTCTTTTGAAAGATTTCTTTATATTTGGTAGGAACATGGAATTGAGGTATTCTCCTTTGGATGGAGTTATGGTTCAGTTGGGTCAAGGTCACCAGTTCTAAAATAGATTTCTACACTTTTACAGCCTTTATTTATTGACAAATGTATTTCATATTTGGAAGGTAGATAACTTGCTTGGTATTCTTTCTTTATATTGAGGAAGGGATCAATGGGCCATGGTCACAGATGTTAAATAGATTTTAATTTTGCAGGATGAAGTTCACACAAACAGTTTATGCTTCTATCAAATTTGCTAGTCGTATGCGTGTTTTATTTCCATTTTAACGCCAGAAAGGCAGTGGTCATTCATATTATTGTTGCAATAAATTAAAAAGATGTTTTCTTTACACATCTGTTCCATTTTTATTTTTTTTGAAAAATAAAGTTCTTAAAATTATCTTTAAATAGATACACTATTGTGCGTATGTTTGTATTTATGGTCATTTGAACTTCACTATGACGTACTCGACATGCGCATTTTAGGACGAACATAAAAGTGGTTACAGATATCTAACCAATATCGTCGTTACATATGTACGAGTATAATTCATGTCTTGTGTTTTTCGAAAAATGTCAGATTTAATTTCATTGAAATATTTATAATGAAGCGTTACAGATTAAGATTTTCATTACAGCAAAGCAATGATATAAAAAGCCTAAATTCTCTGGCCAAAACGGCTAGCTGTCTTCAGCCAAACAGCAATGCCAATATGAGCTTAATCAATTATTTGTATTCTTATTATATGATAGTTACTGGGAATCTTTCAGAGTATAAAGCGACTTGGCGAGTAAAATATCACTTGCCACAATGTCAAAGCGTAAATAGTGTTTGACAAATCGTAAAATGTACTAAATCTTGTGTACTTATTTTAACTTTGACATCTGCTAACTGTGTGTGAATTTGCGTTTATTTATACTCGCCACCGGTTGCCCATATGGGCGAGTCCTCCAGAAAAGTACAAGTCATTTTAGATTTTGGAGGATAGTGCAATTACAGATATAGAAAGATGCCCCGATTCCAGAAGCTTCCCCTTCTTTAACGTGCCAAGTTGTTTTAGCACCCATACACGGGACCTCGATTTAAAGTATCATCCGAAAGACTGATCAGTAATTTTAGTTGACCAGCCTGGGAATGGAACCAACAAGGTCGAGGTTACAAGCCTCGCGCTCTATGCGGGCTGGCTGCTTACAAAAATTCCAGTGCATATAATCGTAAAATTCGCTCATATCTAGCACCCGACTGCATGATCAAGGAGTACTACATGATATTTTTTTTTGATTTTCGTATTGACCGTGCATTTCATACTATGTTTTTCACGTATTTGCCGTTTCTGTTAAAATATAAAAAAAAATGCCTTGATATTCAATCAATATTTCACGTTTGAAGTGAATATTTGTGATGTTATTATTATTATTATTTTTTTTTTTTTTTGAAAATATAAAAAGGGAGATATTTTAGAAAAAATACCTTTCAGGGTCATCTGTCCTTTAGAAATGCATTAGTACTTTCATATGAAATAAGTATTTAAAGTTTAAAGTGAATATGTTTGAAATTAGCCGTAACCAAAAGGTTACTCCGAGCGAAAACATCTTAGAGAAATAAGGGGAATAACTTTGCAAAATATAACTAGGATTATCTGCCTTTTGATATTGCATCATATGATCATAGTGAACAACTAAACCACGTTTAAAGTAAATTCGGTAGTTTCTGAGAAAATAAATGAAATTACTTAAACCAAATTATGAGAGTGACAATACCATAATACCTTTAATATGTCGTCAATCAGGGTTGCAAATGAAAATATTAAACAAAAGAAAAATACCTATCTATTAAGAATTTAGTATCAATTATCCTTTCTAGCCTAAAGATTACATCATATAGTAGCTCAAAACCTCGATATTTATGTTCATTAAAGAAACCAAGTAAGACAAAGATAATTTTTGTGTAATGGCAATTACAATTAAAATAACTATGAGAATGTTAAAAAGTAATATAATTCTACTTGAAACATGATTTTAACATGAATTTACATCTTGCGACATTTAACGGTAGTGTTGCGACATTTAACGGTAAGGGAAATTCGTGCGACATTTAACGTTAACATTGCGACATTTAACGGCAAATGATTTTGCGACATTTAGCGGCGGTTGCGACATTTAGCGTCAATGGTGCGACATTTAGCGGCAAGTGCGACATTTAGCGGCGTTGCGACATATAACGGCGCCACATTGGTGTAAGCGTAGAGCAATCACAGAAGTTATATCAAACTTGGGCTGCCAGTTACAACAAGGTTTGTACTAATACAATACACGCACAATGTCTAAGTATTATTAAAATTATTTCACAAGCAATGACTTTTCAGCGCTTGAACCACGTGATGTTCCAATAAAATCCAATTTATCAATTTAGACTCAATTCGTTTTCCAGAGACTAAACAATCATTATGAAATGCATAAAGTATCCCAAATAGCCTCTTTTTCAATCTCAGAGTTCGAAATACCTGTATAAAATGCATATATATTACATGCATAGCCTCGTTTCTATTTTAGTGTCCAAAATATCTACATCAAATGCAAATCGTATTCCATCTAGCCTCATTTTAATTTTCAGGTTAAAACAATCACATCAATTCCTTGTTGTACTGTTCTGTTAAAATTTAAAAGGTCATAATTATATTGTTCAGAACAATACTGATTCTATTGGACTCGTACCTATATGAGACTCGGCTAACACCTTGTCAAACATAGGTGTTACAGCTGTAGTACTCGTCTAATAGAATTTAGTTTTGCACTCAACAATGTACTGTATAGCCTAATAACATTTAACTATTGCATATTAAAGGCATATCTAATTTAAATTTTGAAACCGTAGATATCCATTCATATTAAAGACAGGAAAATTGACTTACCTTGATTGAGTTTGTTATAGATTAAGTATAACATCATTGTATTGCACAACTTCCAAGTTCTTTAATTTATAAAGGATGTCCCAAACAACATTTCATAATGTAATTTCCTTATATCTTATACAATAATTGCAGGATTGTGAAATATTAGGTTATAGCGGACCAGCAAGGGTTGCTCAAAGGGTTGCAGATCTATTTCCGGTGGATGTGCGAAACGATGTTAACATTCTTGATGTTGGTGCAGGCACGGGCCTAGTTGCTATTGAGGTAGGTTTTACTTATAATATTATTAGCTAAGCACAATGCGTGATCGCTCTAAGACGCCATATGGTCATTACATAAAGTAAGATTTTTCACAATGATTTTCGTTACAACATACAATGGCCAGTGTCAATTTTATGAGGTACTTTAAAAAATGATATGATTCTGTCATGTTTCAGTGATACTTAGCATTACTTTTAACAAAAACACTATTTACCTTTATTATATGTCTCTGTTCATGTTTGATTATTATTTAAACTATACGTATGTACATGCTTTCTTCTGTTTCGTTACATTATTTTATTGTGAAAGTGTGTCTTATTCTGCTAATGTTAACTCATAAAAAGTCACTGTAAGACGTTTCATGTCATAGTTAAAAATAGTGACCGTCATTGACAATATATTACCGATATGACAGGTTTTGGTTTTATTGAGCTTGTTCAAAAAGCTGGCATTGATTAGTGTTTCGTTTACAATTTAATATTATATTATGTCAAATTATATTGCAGCTGAAGAAATTAGGATTCAAGAAACTAGATGCTCTTGAACCAAGTGAACCAATGTTGTTAGAAGCGAAAAAAGATAATCTTTACAATAATTATTGGCAGGAATTTCTAACAGAGTCACCGACAACATTGTCTGCTGGTATGTACATGATAAATAAAAAAAAAAGATACTTCTGTATCGAAGAAGAATAAATTTATCTAATTCCAACACAAATTAGATTAAAACCTTGCAAACAAAAAAGACGGTCCTTCTGAACAACCTTGCTTTGTTGACGTCTTACCGAAACTATATATCAGCCATTTTTAATTTCGGACCTTAAACTTTTCTATAAATATGATTATTTTAGCGTAATAAAAAAATTCAATGTCGAGAAAAATATCTATGGAAAATTAGACTGTACATTCAAAATGTGTAATAATGTGAAATGAACCCAATCGGATGTAATTAGTTTAGACTCATTAAATATTGCAAAACATCCCTGATAGTAATTGTCATTTTATTCAGATACATATGACGTCATAACCGGATGTGGTATGTATGGAGATGGTGCTCACGTTCCATGTGAGGCTTTGTACGAGATGTTAAGGCTTGTTAAACCAGGTAAACCGATTTTTTTGAAATTTTGATCGTGACTTGATGATCCGTGTATACAGAATCATTGATATTAAACATTAAACTTAAACATGTCAATGATTGAAGCTAAGCCATATTTGACACTGGTATCAGAATGATGTGTTTGAAAAGATCGCCGTTACTTTAATTTGGTATATTATAAAAAAAAGAAACAAAATCGTTTTGAAAAGATCGCCGTTACTTTAAATTGGTATATTATTAAGAAACAAAATCGTCAATGAGGTTAAGATTTCATTTTTTAACCTCTTGTTACTCATATGTTTGTGAGCCATCGTGCCATTGTGCAAGATACGTTTTTATAGTATTGTTTATTTTATCATGGTATTTGAAACACTCGCTCAAACTTTGAGTAGTTTTGTGAACTAATCTGTAGTTTATGCTTATATACATGTACATATATTTATGCCATTTACAAATCAGTATGCTAGTGCTAATATAGATTTTCATATGCCATTAGTAAAAACAAGTACGAGCCTGCTCACGTGAACAAACTTTTTACATCCGGCTGCTCTGAGCTCCATATATTCAAAATATAACCATTTCATTACCAGAATTCAGAGTGTAAGTAAAGAACCTACTAAAGGCTATTGCATTTAATTTGAGCCGCGTCACGACAAAACCAACATATAGTGCGTTTGCGACCAGCATGGATCCAGACCAGCCTGCGCATCCACGCAGTCTGATCAGGATCCATGGCGCTGTTCGCTATCAGTTTCTCTACTTGTAATAAGGTTTGTAAGCGAACAGCATGGATCCTGATCGATCAGACTGCGCGGGTGAGCAGGCTGGTCTGGATCTATGCTGGTCGCAAACGCACTATGTTGTTTTTGTCGTGACGCGGCTCATTTATGCATTTTTGTTTGCATTTTTATATTTTCAGGTGGCTATATTATTCTTGCAACACGTCATGAACTTGTTCAAAATAACGAGATCTATAAAAATTTAGAGCCATTGATGGATAAACTCGAAACTAACCGGAAATGGAAGAAAATGTCACGTGATGTGTTTCCTGGATTTAATCTAAAGAAGGATGGAATTATTTGGTGTTACCAAGTGTTAGACAAATGAATTTACTGATATATATTTAGATATAAACACAAACATAAAATTTTGTAATTTTAAAGTGATTTTAAATTTGAAATTATAATGTCCTGATTCCGACTTCCGTATATTGTATGTCTTTCATTTAAAGCCTATTTATTGATACCTAATGTATACGGACACGCCCATTTACAGTTAGTGCACCAGGCATTGACTATTAATATCTTTCTATATATACTCTCCACACTTTTGCTTATATTGTCATACAAACAACAATATTTTTCCAAAGGACACATAACTATACTTCCTCATTCAACTTTCATCAATAAAATAATCAGTTGTAATCAAATAACTCATTTCAAATTAAATTCCAATAAAATTCAGAAGAATTCCAGTTGTCTTCTATGTATACAATGTAGATGTAGCTTACAAAAAAAGAGCATTCTTTGACAGAAAAATGGCTTCTTCAAGAGAAATATAAACTATACTGTAAAAATTTCGACAATTTCTTTTTAAGCTGTGTCCCATTATATAGGTATCCGTTCTAATACGGGAAACTACTCCTACTACAGGGGCTTATTGTCGATGCTTTTCATCGAATAGTGCGCCATACTTCGATTAACAATGTATCAAGAGTAACTTTTGCTGTTATTCAAAAAGAGATCATCAATTATCTGATACAAGGGAAAATATATGTTACTCTTTGATTATGATAGATTTGTTGTATGAAATGCACATGGCGATAAATTATGAATTTCGATAGAATAGTAAAAAGATTTCCTGCTCGTCTTGCAAGAAATTACTTTAAGTTTAATAATATTTTTCTTTAAGTTATTTGAATGTTACTTGTATTCAATATAATTAAATATGACGTCAATACGAGAAGTGTTTAATTTTAGGTTGTTTATGACTTTAATAACAAATTTTGAGAAAATCAAAGGAATATGAACTATAATGAAATAATGAATAAAACTATTGTAATAGTTACAAAAACTGTAAAATAAATAAAAAAATAAATAAATACAACGATATTCACCGCACAAAAACTCTTGTTTAATCTTAAAGTGGTGTTTCAGCAGTAAAATGCTTTGATTTTGCAATATTATATTTTTGCTGGATGTTATAAAGTTTGTACTTCTCTAAAAAGAATTTCCTTTTCGAATTCTTCTATTCCAAAAAAAAGTCTTCGCATACTTAGAGGATGAAATGGTATTGTATTTAAGAACATGGTAGTCTTTGCTAACTGTATAATTTGCATTTTAAAATAGTGATCAGAATTTTCACTCTGCGGCCGGGCTGGAAACAATGTGATTATCCTATAAATCCGAGTTAAGGTTACTGCCGAGTACAATGTATATGATGTACAGTAGACAATCGTTCACCTTTAATAAAAAAATAAGAGATCAAGAAGGATTTAAACATCCTAAAGGATTTTAACATTTTTTAATGTTTGATTTAAAGTAACTGGGTGATTCTGATTCACGTGTAACAATTGGTAGTTTATTCGATTGCAGTGCTGATGGCATGACGGACTTCTAATCTTCTGACAACATGGACAATTGATGCGTAGTCATGATTGTTTCTTATAGAATATATAGGTTGTTATGTGCAGATTGTACTTATAGGGGAAAATAATTGCATAAAATACAGTGGAAATATTTTTTTGGCCTTGTATACTAAGACTAATGTTTTAATATGACTTCAACCTGATCGCGAAACCCATCCTATTTCTGTTAATAGTTTTTGTATAGAAACAGATCTTGCCAATCCTGTAACGTCACGGGCAGCTTCGTATTGAATCTGTTCTAATGTTTCTTTCTCGTATTGCGAGCAGTAACAAATTACTGGTTATCTTTACCGCCTTTGCTACACATTGTATGGTCGTTTTTTCTGAGTAGAAGTGAGAGAAATGTCGGTATTTCCCTCATTTAACACAACCAAACGCATAGAAACCTTAAACCCCAAAACATTCCTGAAACCCGAAGCTTTAAGACCGGCACTTCTCTCACTACCCTGAAATTCTGGGAACGTCTGTAAATTGTTTCGTCTGTCATGACAAAATTATCATAATATATTCTTTGAAATTTATTGAAATCATGTTCCTCAACGAGAAGATAGCGACTATTGTTTTTGTATGAAAATGTCAAATTGATATATAATGAGATTGAAGGAAAGAAATTAAATCATACGGATAATTATCTAACAATGAGGGAGCAGCAAACAAGGAAATACCGCTTTTTATTGTGTATATGTTTCTGTCGACAGGTTTTGTTATCATCTTTCATAACGAAAACTCTATTCGACTCAGGAATCCTCTTCGCAGTATAGTGCACCCTAATTCATGGTGTTGAATTCATCGAATAGAGCTTCACTTCGGTACTTTATTCAAAGGAACCTCCATAGGTGGTAGCATTTGCTGTGACAAAAATTGCATCAAATAGCACGAATATCAATAATAGAACTATTCTTTTAATTTGTTTGTTCCCAATTGTGTGTTAGGACAAATCATAACCGCTGTGACATAAGGTTGTATTAAATCCTAACTTTACTACATGGCACACTTTACTCTAGAACTTTTTCGAGCAATCAAGTTAGGAAAAACCACCAAAACAATATCATTTGCGAGTGATCAGTCAACAAAATTAGTACCTTGTTATTTCTTTAATATATAGCAAACAAAGCTCTTGTCATTAAACGATCTGAATAGGAAAAAGTTCTAATTGAACAAAAATTATTGAAAGGATTTAAGATGAAACAAAATAGCTTTCTACGAGCGACCAATCAATGCTATTGAACATGATACTTCTAAGAAAACAAATTCAGAAAATTAATTTCAGATATCACTGACCGATCTATATTAAACACTATGGTAGTTTCTGTTCACACATCTTCTACTTAAAACAACGACATTAAAGGCAGTATAACATTGATTTGTTGATTAAACCTTTCAAGAAACAGTCTGTTTAATGAATACCTAAATTAAAACCATTTGCATGTTTCCGCAGAACAACTTCTTTACGTTGATGGATCAATATATAAGTTCAGATTTATGTATTAATACTTCAATAATTAGTTACCATGATGTCTGTTTACAAATGTGTTGGTATAAGCATTTTCCGCTCGAGTATCTTATAAACCTGCAAACTAGTTATCATGCACTTATAAACATTGTGCAAAACAAGAATTAAGGCCAATCATGATAATTAATTATCATTACATGCGTATATGTCACTCTCAAAACTTAACGAAATCAACCTAAACTATTACATACGAGTATTCCAGATACATTAGATAATACCACTGGCCGTTTTTAAAACTTGAGTTTCACATGGTATATTAATTTTAGATGGCATATTAGCTATTTTTATAAAGTTATTGTAACAAGGAGATCACTCTGACTTACAAACCTTTATGAACAACCTAACTTTCTACTACGGAGTTTGTCGAACTTAAAGCTAGTGTGAGACTGCTTTTTTATCTACATTGTTAAATCTGAATTTCATCGATCATACGACCTCAATCATATTAATCTAGACGAGTAAGTAGAAAGTGTGAACATTCTGGTTATCTGATAGCCAAATTAGTTTTAACTTTGGTGGAAAAATAAAAAAAAAACGAATTGAAAATGTGTTTACAAATTTATGACTTACTAGTAATTGTAATTGTTGAGCTATATCATGTCTTGCACAATTATTACTAAGATTACACTAAATATTATCGTCACATTAAGAAATCGAGAATTTCTTGGATTGATTTGCAAAGCGTCCGTTATGTGTAAGATTTTTAACAATCTAGGCCACTGTGCCTTAAACATATAAACACTTGGTTAGCCACAGGCTAAGTTACCCCTAAATTTTGACAGATTTGAATGGAAAAAAATAAAAATATAACGCATTCATAATGCATTGCAAACAAACCAAATCATTCATTTGAACAACAAATTGTAAATAAAAATCTTATTAATAGTAAATAAACAGTTCTCATTAGACATAATTGCCGATTCCTTTAACAGTTCGACAAAAAATAAGTATCCAACTGGCTCTCTCTTACTAGTGTAAATATTACATAATTTAATGAAAATAACTGTTTAGATTGCCAAAAATGATGCTCTGAGTGTTTATAATGCTAATACATGATTTTATATCTCGGCGTGATTGATTCAACTTCTATTGCGTGGAGCATTGCACTCAAGCTTAGTATTTCATTACTGCTAACCAGGTCCACGTTCATTATTCTTAACTCGTGCGTTTTTGTGGAAATTTTTCCGTTCGAATTGTGAGCATAGAGCAACGTGTGACCGCTATCCTCATTTCCGAGTGTGTATGTGGCCTTCGACATAAACGATGGATTCTAAGCATTCTGAAATTGTTAGCGTTTCCAATTTTCGAGAGAGGCCTAGATTTCTGACGATAATTGTAGGTAGGTTAATAATTATGAAATAATGTGATAAATATTAATCGTTAGCTTAGAGCACAATGCGTGAATACGACTCTAAGACGCCAATTCTTGCATGCGGTCATTGTTCTCCATATAATATTAGTAAGATTGTCAACACATGATTTTCTAATTTTGTACAGAACCAGATTCATACAGATGTACTCATGTGAGTCAGCGATTTGTCAACTTCATAGAAGTGATGGGCAGGCAAAGACACAAGCGTTACGTTTTATATATTTTACTTCTGTCGGGATCACTTCTATATACAACGATATGTAAGTTTCATAACAAATTTCTAAAAGGTTCTTGTGCTATAGCGTTAGAGCCAAAATGTGAGACTTGATCTCTCTCCATCTTATTTTACCTTATTGTTTGTCTATGATCAATTCGATCGCTTCTTTCTTGCTTAATATTATTTAAACTGTATACGTCCTGGTAATGCTATTCTTCTCTGTTTCAGATACATTTCTATTATGTAGTGAAAGTGTGTCTATATTCTGTTAACTCATAATAAAAGTCACTGTAAGATTGATCGTATTCATGTTCATAGATTAAAAAGAGTGTCGACCTTTTAAGTTTCAGATTACTGACCTGATATGATTACCTCTGATATGACAGGTTTTGGTTTTATTGAGCTTGTTCAAAAAGCTAGCATTGATTAAGTGTTGTCGACAATTATTACA